CGAGGTTAGTCACCGCATGGAGAAAGAGTGTGATATCATTCATATGGTGAAAATAAAGCTACTCTGACAAGTTGCAAAGGATATTGCTGTCTGTTGGGCCAGCTATTTTCTGGCATGAGGATAAAATAAGTGAGAATTATTTATCTTCTCCCTTGTTTCATGCTGATGTTCTGGCACTGACCATCTTTCACATGTGTTAGAAATGAAAACAGACAGCTGAGCCAAAGTAGCCTTTCTACCTCTGTATACATAATACATTTAAATTAAAATGTTCAAAGACCCTCAAAATTGACCCCAATAGTTACTACCCAGACTTTTTGAATAACCAATTCCAGACTCTGTGAAAAATTATTCTTGACATCAGTTTATAACTTAAACATAGTAACTTTAGCAAGGCAAAATTAAACAACAAAGTAATCTAATTGTTTCCTATGGTAAACCTAATAACCCTTGTTTTCAGCACCGTTCACACAAAGACAGACAGACAAACAAACACAGTTAGGGATAAATAAAAGAAAATAACAAAACTGGTCAGATTATTTACGTCATGTTTATAATGTGTTGTTCCACAGGCAAAGATGGTTGTTTCTTGATTGATTTTCCAAACATTGCCTCCATCAAGTTCACATTTTCTGCTCACTCATAGGAAATCAGTCATATTTATAACTTAGTTTCTATTTTCTGACCTCCCAATAGCTGATAATGGAAGGTTAAGCAGGGACTTTCAAATCATCATGCTGTTTCATTAACAATCAAAATCCTTCTCCCGGAAAGCACAGTACAAATCCCAGTTTAAAACTCTGACCTCTCCCTGTCAGACTGACTGTCTTCTCATGAGGTCCCAGTTACAACTCAACATCTAACATCAGGTTGAATCTCTGCCAGACTTGCTGGAACCAATTCCCAGGTACTGATCTTATTAATGGCCAACATCTGTCTAAACATTACTGTTCTCCCCAGTGTCAAAACATCTATACAGCCTTTTGATGAAGACCCAACCTTCAGTTAACATCCAGGCCTGGCCTCACAGATGAGCCACAAATTGTTTTTTCTGCTTTTTCTAAAACACAATCTGCTGCCCACAATCCAATGGTCATTTTTTAGCTCACAGTTCTCAGTTCACAGCTCCAAACCAGAAAAGAATAAATTAGAAGTAATGAAACATCAGTGAGGGTTCCAACACATATCTTGCCCAAGCAAAAGTCATAGACAGCCAATGGGAGGAAGCTATTTGATCACATCAGACATCACAGCCAAATACACTCCAATCCGATGAGGAGGGAGTTTTCAGGTAATGTTTAGGAACAAGGACTTTTTCTAAATTGAGTGTAGGATAGGGTGAGGGAGGTGGGGTTGCATGGTGCATTGTTAGGGGCATAAAATGCTTCACTTGAGTTCGGGTAATTCAGCGCAGACCTGAGCTGCTCCTGATCTGTGTTATTAAGTTCCACACAGGGCAGCTCATTATAGTAACTGGGCAAACAGAGAGCTGTAAAACACTGCCTTTTAAACAGGAATTGAAATCCAAACTCGTCCACCCCAAAAATAAAGTCACATTTGGCCATCATGAGAAATGATTAAGACCATGTGTGACAGATTGGCACATGACTCATGTCAGTCAATTACTTCCATGCCTTTGCAAGTTATGATAATCTGCTGACAATAGTGTATAATTCACAAGCTATTTTAGTGTGCTACACCTCCCTTCATCAGACACAAAAATGCATTTGCCTCTCAAATGCCAGACAGCTTATTTTATGTTTCAGGAATAATTTTTGATCTAAAATAAATCCTTGAGGGGGCAATTTCTAAATGAAATACCTTTGGCCGGCCCGGTGGCTCAGTGGTTAGCCCTGCTGCCTCACAGCGCCAGAGACCTGTGTTTGACTCTACCCTCAGGTGACTGTCTGTGTGGAGTTTGGACATTCTCCCCGTGTCTGCATGGGTTTCCTCTGAGTGCTCCGGTTTCCTCCCACAGTCCAACGTTGTGCAGGTTAGGTGGATTGGCCAAGTTAAATTGCCCCATAGTGCCTGGAGATGTGTACGTTAGGTGGGTTAGCCATGGGAAATGCAGAGTTACAGGGATAGGGTAGGGGGGTAGGTCTTGGTGGGATGCGCTTCAGAGGCTTGGTGTAGACTCGATTGGCCGAATGGCCTGCTTCCACGCTGTAGGGATTCCATGATTCTAAATGTTAACTCAGTTGTGAGTCTCAGTAATTAATAGAGCTCAGCACAACGACAGCCACTTACTTTTATATGGTGCCTTCAATGTAACAAACATCTCATGGTACTCCACAGGAAAGTCCAGAAGGAAAAATAAGATAACAAGTCAGATTAGGAGAAATGACCAAAAGCTTAGTCAAAGAGGTGAGTTTTAAGAATGGCTTAAAGTAAGATGTTTAGGTAGAAAGACATGGAGAAGTGTAGGGGGAGCTTAGGTTGTAGGCAACTGAAGGTGCAACCAGCAATGTTGGAATGATCAAAAGTGATTAAAATTACAAGCCCTTTGGTCCAACTCATCCATGCCAACCAGATATTTGAAATTAATCTGATCTCACTTGTCAACATTTTGGGACTAGATTAATTTAGGATATGTGGTTGGCATGGACAAGTTGAACTGAATGGTGTGTTTCTGTGCTGTACAAATTTATGATTATGACACTATGACTGTTAGAGACTGGATGGGCTTTCATTGTTTTCTTTAGAGCACAGAGGTTGAGGGGGGGTTGTGGGCTCTGAGTGAGGCGTATAACATTCTGAGGGGTATAGACAAGGCGCATGGGGGAAAAGGCCAATAAACAAGGAGGCGCTGTTTTAAGGTAAGGAACAGGAAGCATGGAGGAAAGTTGAGGAAAATGTTTTCATCCAGAGGGTTGTGGGATCTGGAATTCACTGCCTGAAAGGGTAGTAGAGGTGGGAAGACATTTGAGAATTATTCAAAAGAACAGTTGAAATGCCACAGCATACAAGGCTACATATGGGCCAAGTGCTGGAAAATGGGATTAGCAAAGATAAATGTTTTAATGACTGATGTGCACCAGATGGGCCGAACGGCCTCTTTCCATGCTGGAAAAGCTATGACTCTGAATGGACAGCAAATCAAAGGATTAGAAATTAGGGTGAATGGTTAATTCCTTGGCCAATGAGGTGAGTTTTATGGATACTCCTTCAGCAGGAGCAAATGTGACTAGATTACAGAAGAAAAGGAACAATGAATCAGGTTTCTGGGTGTTTTTAAAAAAAAATTCATTCACAGGAAGTGGGCATTAGTGGCTAGCCAGCATTTATTGCCCAGGGGGCAGTTAAGAGTCAACTACATTGCTGTGGGTCTGGAGCCATATGTAGGCCAGACTAGGTAAGGATAGTAATTTCCTTCCCTGAAGGACATTAGTGAATCAGATGAGTTTGTTCCCAACAATCAAGTCATGTTAGACTCTTAATTCCAGATTTTTTTTTTGTAAATTAATCTGATGTGGCAAGATTTGAGCTTGGGTCCCCAAACATTACCTGGGTCTCTGGATTAACAGCCCTGCAATACCCTACCACTAGGCCATCACCTCTCCTTGAGTGGGTATAGTTAGGGAGGCAACAAAGGAAGTGAACTATAGAGTTGACACCCGTCCCAGTTCTGACGAAGTGTCACTGGATCCGAAACACTGACTTTGCTTTCTCTGCACAGATGCTGCCAGACGTGCTAAGTTTATCCAGCAATTTCTGATTTTAGAGCCTTGTGAAATTCTGATGGTTACAGTAGAGAAGTGCAAAGTGAAGTGATTGCTGAAGGTGCCAGAGGTGCAATCAGATTAGAGTTGAAACTGTTTAAGGGCAGTCCCATTGATGTGGATCAGGATTTGGTAGAAGATGGTGCAGGTGACTTTTGTAAAGACTGCAAGGAGATTGAGGAAGATGACTCAAGGATCATACTCCATGGTCACAAGGAATGTTGTCAATTGGCTTGAGCCCAGGGCCTGTGGTGGGGAAGGCAAAACCCTGATTGAAGAAATTTGAACAGGGGTGATGACATGAATTCTTAACTAGCAGCGTAAAGTGTGCGTGTGTGGGTGTGTAGGGGTGTGGGGGTGGGGAGAAAGTTTCCAAGGCCAGAGGGGTTTTTATGGTTTAGCGAGTGGGGACAGTATCGAAGACAAGGGAGCAATTCATAATGTCACTTGGCATAGCGGCCAAGAAGGGAAGATGCATGACCTACAGTTTAGTTGGAATAAATGAAGGGAACAGATAATGAATCACGTGGATGAAATGAACTTGGAGAATAAATGGGTAAGGAAGGGGAGAGATGATAGAGAAGCTCGGGGGAGAGAGAGGGACATAGGGAGAGAGAGGGGGGAGACAGAGAAAGAGAGAGAGAGAAAGAGAGAGACAGAGAAGGGATTCAATGTTAGGGGTAAGGCCATCCTGGAGAAAGAGTTGTCTTGCTGAGCAAGGGGAAGGGAAAGAGGCAGCAAAGGAATTCAGGAACAGAGCCAAACACAGCTGCAATTCCCAAGATGTATGAATGGCCTGAATGAGTTCATATTTAAATTTCTGAAGTTTGTGGGTGAGTGTTTAACATGAGGGAACACCGTCAAGATTCAAACTCTCAGGAAGCATGCTCAGAATTGTACAATATGCACTGGACAAGACTCTGGCTTAACACGGACGTGGAAAATGACTTCTAGCCTTGTCCACCATGACTTTGAAGGACAACGTCACCATGCGGCTAGTAGCAGGAGCTGTCCTCTGATAGTCCTTTCACTTTTTGCTGTTTTTACTTTTTAAATCAGCCATCACTCCACAGACAAAAAGACAGGATATTAAGAATTGTACGTGCACAACTGAACCTAATCATGTCTTGTTGTTTGTAGGCAGTGAGTTGGAATCCACCAAGCTGAACAAGTATTTTAAATCTATACTCAGCAGTGCCTGGGCAACTGCAGACAACATCAGCTGCTGCAGAGTAAGAAGGTTTGGAGCATATGGAATGCAGCTTTGGACTAGACACAGTATAGTTTGGCTGCACATATACTAAAATTGGAACAATACAGATCAAATTAGCATGACCTCTGTGCCAGGCTGGCACATAAATTTGTGGTGCAGTGGTAGTGTGCCTCCCACTGGACTAGGAGGCAAAGGTTCAAGTCCAACCCCTGCTCCAGAAGTGTACCATAACATCTCTGAACAGGTTGATTAGAAAAAAATAGTTTTGATTAGTTTAGACAAGGTTCAGTAAGTTAATAAAATTGAAAATGTCAAAATTTGGAGCTTTTTTTTGTCAGGCAGGGAGAGGTACTAAGTTTTTCTGGGACAGTATGGTGGAGATAGAGTTAAGATACAGATCAGTCATGATGTGCAACAAATAACATTAAAACAAAACTGGTTGACTGATATTGCCTCTATCATTGATGTCAGTGGGACCTTTGTTGCTCACAAATTACCGAATGGCAGAACAGGCAGCAGGGTTAGAGGACTCAATGCTCTGCCTCTCGATTTGTGATGCATTCTATTTGTTTTTTTAGTTTATTAACGTTTTGATTTAAGGAGGATTTACTCCCAGAAATTAACATCTCAGTGAAAGTCAGCAGACCTGAACTCTAAAGAGCGGGGAGTCCCTGATTTACAAATTACAAATGCTTGTGCTTATGAATGCAATCTCTTCCAAGGTGTAATTTTAAAGACATGACATATGAACATTTCCCGTGTTTATGAGCAGCTGCTTTACATTGTCCTGCATCGTGTTTCAACTTACGCACAAATTGACTTGCGTATGGACCCCTGAACACAACCTATTAGCAACAGAAGCTCTGCCTATAAATGTAGTGGCACAAATCCATGGTGCTGATGCTGCATCAAACACTGTCTATGGGATTCAGTGTTGCTGCAGTGCAAGCACATCCTTGCGGTGACACTGGAACCTGCCTTCGATCTGTTCTATTTGTCTCCATGGAATTGGAGGTGCCAGTGTGATGACACAGTGGAGCATCAACATCTCTGCTAGCCGATTGTTATGGTTCCAAAAGATTGAGCGTCTGAACACAGTAACATGTATGGGATCACAGAACACCATTGTGGCCTTTCAGTGGAAGTGTATTTGAGGTGATTTGGAACAAATAGCAGATTGCTGGACATGCATTCTGAATTATCAACTTGGGAACTGCTGTAGTCATAAAAAGCATGTGTTTTATAACCAGTTAGATACTCTTGGAATGAAATATAGGAAACAGAAGGTCTTAGAATCTCTAGAGTGTGGAAATAGCCCATTTGGTCCATCAAATCCACATTGTCTCTCTGAAGAGCATCCCACTCAATCCACCTAACCTGCACATCTTTGGACTGTGGGAGGAAACCCACGTAGACAAAGTGGGAATGTGCAAGCTCCGCACAGGCAGTCACGTGAGGGTGGAATCAGGCTTGGGTCCCGGGCACCATGAGGCAGCAGTGCTAACCACTGAGCCACCATGTTACACACGTACACCAGACCAGGTAAAGGTAGCAGATTTCCTTCCTTGAAGGATATTAGTGAACCAGATAGGTTTTTTCAACAATTGACAATGAATTCTTGGTTATCATTAGACTCTCAATTCTAGATTTTTTAAAAAATTGAACTCAGATTCTACCAACTGCCTTGGCTGGTTTTGAGCTTGAGTCTTCAGAACATTACCTGATCTCTGGATTTAATAGCCCAGCAATATTACCACTAGGCCATCTCTTCCCCTTGTTATGGGATGGTGAGCATCCCTGCCTCTTAGCCAGAACCTTCAGGATCAAGTCCCATTCCAGGACTTGATGTAAAAGGAAGAGGCATTCATAACATGGTCAGGCAGGTTGAGTATCGACTTGTAAGGGCTGGCAACACATGCCCAATGGAGAGGGAGAGATTCCTGACCAGGCACATGCTGGATAGGAATTGGAGCCTCTACCATCACTACCCATAGCCCCAACTACAATATGTGTGTAAAAGTGTATGTTTGCTCTGAATCTTTGGGGTTTAGATGGTTTGGTGGCTGATACAGATCAGATTGATGATGGGATTTGATCCCTGTTCAGACTGAAGTGGATTCTGGACTTCCCCTTTCCCTACCCAGGGTTGACATTGTGGTACTGTGCGCTGGACCTGGCATCAGGCAGAGAACTAATGAAGGGGAATGTGGGAAATGTAACAATCAATTAGTGCACAACAAGTCCCCATGAATATCAGTGATATAGAAAACACCAGGTAATGTGTTTTGTTTTAATTTTGCTCATTATAGGAAAATATTGGTCAAAACTTGGGACGGTAGCACAGTGGTTTAGCAACTGCTGCCTCACATACTAGGGACCACAGTTCAATTCTACCCTTGGGTGACTGTCTGTGTGGAGTTTGCATGTTGTCCTCAGGTCTGTGTGAGTTTTCTCCAGGTGTTCCAGTTTCTTCCCACAATCCAAAGATGTGCAGGTTACGTGGATTGGCCATGTGGAATGCAGGGCTACGGGGATAGGGTAGCTGGTGGGTCTGCAGGGTTGCTTTTGGAGGGTCAGTTTGGGCTCAATGAGGTGGATGGCCTGCTTCCACACTGTAGAGATTCTATCACTCAGTGAAGAGCTCCATCAAATGGAGTCATTAGTTCTTCCATGCCCAGACTGGGTCATTATTTAACTCCTTCACCACCCCATAGCATCTCGAACAGAACCATATTCCTTTGCAGCAGTGAAGGAGCTGCCTGGCTTAGATACTCACGTTTCTAGAGTGGGATTTAAAACTATCACCTTGAGACTCAAGTGCAAGCATGCTGAACCACAGCTATGCTAAATCAGATCAAAACTTCATGGCTCTACACAATTCCTCTTGACTGTCATTTTCACAAAGGATTTCCCCTTCTGAATTATTTGCCACCTCGACTAAAACTGTGCGCAGGGAAATTCCAGACAAATACGTCAAAGCACTTATTAATTTGCCAGCCATAATTTCCAGTCTATTTGTTCCATCGATGCAAGGCTCGACAATTTTTCTAAATGTCAGGTAACGTTCACCTTCTAAACAACGCACTGCATAATCTGACCAGACATGCTTAGGGTTCTGAGAATTAATGATTTGCTCCATCTGGAAGCTGTCTGCGTTCCAAGTCCAAAGTCATGTTTGCCATGTTTTGATCCAGATTAAACTAATTTTCATCAGGCCAGTGGATGGCGTTAATCAATCTGAGGTGAATGTCAGATTACAGTATCTGCAGAGCGGAATCTGGAATGCATACATGACATTGCCAATTTTCCAAGCCCAATCAAATATTGCAATCAAGAACAAATCTGGTAGTCTAAACACTTGACAGAAAATTTTAACTAAACTCAGCTGACAGGAAATGGGTGGAATTAGGAGCGAAGCTAGCTTTACCTCCTGTCTGATTTTGTTCTCTATGAAATCAGTGAAGAGTTACATTGGGCTATGTGTAAAAAAAAAGTGCTCCAACAATTGCACAGATTTCCCACCAGACACGTTGGGTTAAAATGGCCCTGGTTGCTTTAATCTCTCATATGAGATGATTGTGTGAAATCACTTTATGGGGTATCAGGCGCCGTGATAGGATGACTTATAAAACTTTTCACTGTATTTTTCATGTATAAGTACATGCAACAATAAATATCCTACTCTACTCTATTCTACTCTAATCTATTCTATTATACCTTCCCCTTCAAAATGGACCAAACAAAAACAAATAGGCTCAAATAGTGTAGTAAGAACTGCTGATGCTGGAGTCACAGATAACACAGTGTGGAGCTGGATGAACACAGCAGGCCAGGCAGCATCAGAGGAACGGGAAAGCTGATGTTTCAGGTCAGGACTCTTCTTCAGAAAATTTCTAGTGGCACTTTCAAGTTTTCAGCATTTATTCTCAACATTGGGCAACCTTGGTTTTGACATGGTGCAGATGGAAAACAAGATCTTTTGCATAAAGGTCCTCCTGGACATGAGGTTCGACCTGAATCCTTAGTGGATATGCAAAAACTGGGATAGAATGTATACTCCCAATTTTCGGTCATAATATCCTTAGAAGAATTACTTGGAACTCAAGAAGAATGACATCCATAACCCTTTTCCCCAGCAGTTTGGACAAACATTTTGTTTAGAAGAACCGTCTGTGGAAATTCTGCGTCGATATCTTGAGTGAACAAAATAGGATATCATCCATTTGGACTGTGAAAGGTTAGATCCAAATAATTTTTTATTCAAATGGTTTCCACAAAGAGGTGAGGTGAGGTAGACTGGCTTCCCACTTCCACCACTCCTTGTTTGATTAGAACAGAGGTTTTAAATCTAAAAAGGATGTATTTGCCAGGTCAGTCTGTGCTTGACCATGTGTGGATATGTATAATGAGTTAGACAGATTTTCTTGAATTAAGTAAGTAAAGGGTTAATTTTATTGTTTCAAAACCCACGCAGGTAAAAATAATAAAATGTGTAAAACTGTGTTCTGCCTTCTGCAATTTATGTGCAAATACAAACTCCAACCAAGCATGCAAAAATACAAATTACAGAGTACAGGAGATTAATATATCATGTCTGTGTTGTCATCAGAGCCTTTGTATGCATCGTAGCCTTGGTGATTAATTTTAATGTCAAAGGAATTAACATCTGAATGGTTCATTCATGGTTGCATGTTGTGAATCTTCAGTTTTGAGAACGTGAGAAGGAAATTGTCTCCATCTTTTCGAGGGTTTACTGTCTCTGGTGGGGTCTTCATAAACCCTGCACCTCCATTTCAATGGACCAGAAAGTGAGCACTGTCATGGTGCAAATTATAGCAGCCTTTTCTGGTTTCAGTCAATGCCCTTGTTTTGGTTAAACAAACATTGCTTATATAAAAAAAAGTCCAATGTTTGTCCCCAGCTGATGAATTACAAACTAATATAAAACAAAAACTGCGAATGCTGGAAATCTGAAACAGACGCAGAAATTGCTGGAGAAACTCGATGGGTCTGGCCACGTCCTCCCTTCTTCCTCCCCCCACATTCTGCCAGACATGCTGAGTTTCTACAGAAATTTCCGTTTTTGAATTAAAAACTAATCCCTGATGTGATGTGTTTGCAATAAGGCAAAAAGTAGAGTTTTTGAAGAGATTTAGAGCTCCACAATGTA